GACCATCTGAAACTGACCAGCCCCGGGCCGGCTCCTGAGTGCGCCGCTGGGCTTAAATCGCGTCCAGTTGGGAAGCCGGCGCCTGGCTGGACTCATGCCTTGTCCCGCTCCAAACCGTGTTGTCTGCCCGGGGCCAGATCCTGCCCTGGGTTAGGCCGCTGCAAATCGGGAAGGACCCGATCCACCCGCAAGGAGTTCAGTGTGTGAAAAAGATCGGGGACCGGAGCCGCGCACAGGATGATTCCCCCTCTCCCGCTGAGTTGCCCGAGCTGAGCTTTCTGTTACGAACTAAGGGAGGGGAAAGAGAAAGGAAGGAAGCAGCGAGACCCACTACGAGCAGGGGCACACAGGATCCGAGCATCTCCCAGAGCCTTTTGGGGGGGGGGGGGTGTAATTCTCGATTGTCCATGCTTGAAAAATGGACATGTTTCCTCTGCGCCCAAAGATCCCCGGGGACCAAAGTAGCCGGGAGCAGGGCTCCGAGACTCTTTGGGAACCAACCCAGATCGCTCCGGGTTGCTGCTTTCCTCGCTGGGGAGGGCAGGTCGGGGAGTGGGAGGGGGACAGTGCCTAATTCTGAGCGTTACAAGGCTCTTGTCTGCCTGCGAGGCGATGATCTGGGCCTTTCGCCCTGCCCGGGGATGATCGCTGCCCTCCCAGCGGCTGCGGGTGCTGAGCGAGCAGGGCTTTGCCTTCTCTCAGGGGCCACTCAGCTCTTAAACCCGGCCCTTAGCTCGGGAGCGGCTTGGGCCCGTGCAGTCACCTGCCAGGCCGGGAATCACAGGGCTGGAAGGGACCTGGAGATAGCATCCCTCTCTGCTCCGGGCAGGCGCAACCCAGTCTGCACCATCCCTAGGCAATACAGTAACACGCATCCCCCAGGCACGGAGCTCACGGGGCCTGGGCTCGGACGGGCAAAGCTGAGGCTGCACCCGATTGCTGGACCTCTCCCCCCATCCCGTGTCTTTGGAGGCGGCTGCCCAAGACAGGCCTTGCACGGCCCAGCCCTGCCCTGCCAGCTATGCCTACGGCCCGAAGACACTGTCAGACTTCGGGAGCCCCTGCGGAAGGTGCCTTGGACTGACTTGGAGTTTAGGGAGGGGGAAGACAGATGTGCGGAGAAAGGAAACAATAAAGCAGAGGCTATCGAGCAGGGGCCGGGACCTGACCCTGGTGAGATCTGCCAGCACCCAGCCTTGCCTTCCTTGCGAAATCTTTTTCCGATGCCCTCCCTGATGGGCACCACCGGCCTCTCTACAGTTTCGCAGGCTTGGGTCCTTTCTACTGCCGCTTTGGGTGACTCTGTTTGCTTTAAGAGCGGAAAATAATTACTCCCACTGCTCCTTGGCTGTCTGTGAAGGATCAATCCGGAGGCGCAGCCAGCTCAGGCTGGGGTGGAAAGATTCACTGTGATTCCCAGAGAAGCAGGGCAGCTGGATGGGCTGGGCGGACGAACAGCCAGCCCGAGGAGGGACACTATACACATTCGTCCCTAGCTATGGAATAAACGGGTTTTTTGTCGTTCCATCTTAAAGTGACAGCGAGAGAGAGCAGCTCTGCCAGCATCTGTAAGCGCAGCTTCAGGTCCGCAGTGAGAATAAACTCGGGTTTATATTGGTGCGGCTAAGCGCCCATGCCAGGCTGAGCTGCGACGACGAAGAAGACGCGGGTTATCTCGGGTGGCTCAACAACCTCCGGGCCCAGTTGGAGATAGGGGCAGTTTTGCATTATCCTCCCAGCTCAGTGGCCTCGGCACTGATCCCCGACCCGGGGAGCTCGCTGGGCTCAGGGACTGGGTGCCACCGATTTGGGGTTCTTCCTTGCTGCCTCTCTTCTTTTCCTGCTCTCACTCCCCCTCTTTCTTGCTTTGCCTCTTTCTCTCTCTCTCTCCTGATTTCTCTCTTTCAAACCCAGCTACAGACGTTAATGGCATCCTAGACAATGAAGGTGGGAAGGGACCCCCGGAAATCATCCAGGGTCCAGACAGAAGTGACAATTTTCGCCCGACCTGGCCACACAAAAGCAGGACCATCCCCAGCTAGATCATCCCAGCTCAGGCTTTGTCTAGCCGGGTCTTGAAAACCTCCGAGGACGGAGCGTCCTATAATATTTTATTTTTATATGGTATCTTTAATGCTATAGGGGCTTTAGCACCCCAGCCCGCATGCTCTGGAACCCGGGACCTCGGCGGGACAAAGGGGACGCCTGCGCCGGGGCAGAGAAAGCTGCTGGCAGGGAAAATGCCCGGGTTGGGACCTCTGTTCCGGCCAGGCGAAGGCAGAGAGGACGGTAAGGCGCAGGCGAGGACTCTGCCCGCAGGACCGCGTGTTTGCCCCACCGCCAGGATTTGCTTTGTTCCCAAGCGGAGCCCCTCATCCGCCAGCACCCCTGGGTCACAGGACGGGGCATCGGGGCACAGGGGGGAGTGCATCTCCTTCCCTTTCCTCACCGGGACCCAGGACTCGAAACCAGATCAGGCTTGTTCACACGGGATCGGCTCTTGGCCGTTCAAGAACCTATCAGCACCCCCGGATCCTCGTCCCCTCTGCTGGAGGAGGGGGGCCAGGCCGTGTCCCACGTACTCCAAAGCTTGATAGTTTCCCTCCTCCTCCCCCCCAGCCCCACTCCCCGCGTGCCACCCCCAGCCTCAGCCAATGCAACTCACCGTAGCAGGGCACTGGCAGGGCTCCGTTGTGGCCGCTGGTCTCTTGCAGCTTGAGGTTGCTCTCCGGCGGCGTTTTGCAGGGACCTCGCTGCATGTAGAGATGCTGCTGCTGCTGCTGAGCTGGGTATTTGTTAAAGGAGCCTTGCGCCCCGGCCGAGCTCGGGGCCTGCCCACTGCC